AGAGCCTCTTAAGGAGGCATGATTCCGTAAAGAAATAATGACTATGATGTTGTCACCCAGACAAGGTGTACCAGTGTACCATGTTTTACCTAACACAACTACCTAACACATGTTGGCGATTCTATATAATCAGTCTAGAACACCCCGGGGAACATGAATGGTCCGGCCGGTTCTTCCTAATCGATGGTTTTGAATGGAGTGACCATTCCCACATGTCCATGATTTCCATGCACGCAAAACCAAGTCAGTTTTGATCAGTTTTGTGTATGAGCTTTGCCACGATCTGTATATGTCTCAGGCAGTCAGTGTCAGTACACTGATATCCCGAGTGCAGAACCTCGCAGCGCTCCTGACGCATCTCTGCCGAACATCTCTTGTCCCGCATCTCCGCGCAACAAAACACGAAAACCCATGCGGTGCTAGGGCAGGCGACCGCGTTGACGGGGGGGTTAATCTAATTAGGGGGGAGTCCAGTTCTTTCAATGGAGTCATGTCTGAGTCAAGCACTGGACTCCAGCCAGGTGGATGAATGGGATCCCAACTCACCAGCCGGGGGGCTTGACAAGCCAAACGTCCGCCGGGTCCAAAGGGTCCGACGCACCGAGAAAAGGGACGGAGGTCCTTTGGGTTCACCAGCAAATGGGCAGCCTCAAATGGGACAGCAAATGGGTGTGAACATAGACCCTTAGTGGTTTAGAATCACTTGTTACCAGACGACATGGAGCCACATTGGTCTTTAGACCAAAAGGGGTTCAAGGGTTTTCACGGATTCGTGATCTATGTTGGTAGGCTGCTTGGAGGGTTGGCCACTTTGACGGGAGAGTAAAGAAAGATCCAGCAATACCAGTCTAGCCGGGTGTAGCTAGGAGGGATGTTTTAGGTGACGGTGGTACAATTCTTTGTGTACAACCTTGTTTAAATGTTTGCACGGAATAGGATCAAGCACATGACTGCTCTAGGGTGTGGGCAGTTCGATGGAAGCAGTCGAAACAGTTCTTAGTATCATACCCTATGGGCCACTTTGAAGAGTTCAAATCCTGACACTATGACATATCCCCGCCTGGACCCTCTTCAGGCCTCTTGGTCTACAGGGTCATTTCATGTTTTATGGCTCATATGAGTTGGCCTGATTCAAGAGTCAAGACCAGCTGCTGAAGCATTGATGGTTTCAAGGTTGACCTAGTGGCAGCCCCACTGGCAGCGACGCATCGAGGGACCACATGGAATCTCCGAGTTTCGAAAGACATCGAAACAGCGCCTGAGAGAGCCTTCAGTACAGGTGTTTTGGGGCAAAAGACCTAGGTGGTGGTATGTGGGGCCACAGGAGATTCTTTCATCTGGGAGAAGAAGCGTTACTAGAAAGTGTTGAGCCGGGAAGCGCTGGCTGTGCTGTTCAGGTCACTGGCTGCGAAGGCAACGGCGAGACGGCGCTGATCTCCTTGGTTTCTGGGCTGTCGAGACGGCGGACCCTGTGTCACCATGCGTCACCATGGTCCGGGTGACAAATCATAAAAGGACCATATTTGATCATATTTGTGTGTGTGTTCTTTTTTTGGGGGGAGGGTACTTCACCAATTCATGGAAGCCTCAGATGGTTGGATGCACTAAGATCAGAAGTTCCATGAAGTTCCTACTTGGCAACCACCGGCGCGCATGAAAACATCATGAAAAAACCTGGCGCACAAAGAAACCGAAGCCCCTGGCCATGGGAACAACCCGACCTTTTTTCTCCATCAAATCGCGTCTTTGTATGAGATATGTGTGTGTATTTCTGAACTTCTTGGGTCCAGAATCTCCAGAAGATAGACATCTTGGAACTTCCGGACCTTTGGCACAGGTTCCGTGTTTCCGGTTCTTTTGCTTTACAGCCTGCCGTAGCAGCTAGCCTCGCCTCGCAACCTGCCGAGTCCCCTGGCCTCATTGCCTCCAACACTTATGCGCATCTTGGAGCGACCACCGCGAGACGGGCGCCACGCGACTGGTGGACCAGCTAGAGAAAACGAGTGGAATTGAAGGAACCACGAAAATGAGTCAGAGGGCAATAGATGTGTTCTATTGTCGTTGTGGTTTCTAGTATAAGCATGTATAAGCTTGACTGCAGATATACAGAGAACCAAGCTTGGATTTGCTTGTGTGTTTGCTTGTTAGTCTCAAATTGCTTATTAAATCATCTTGAATTGGATCCCTCGAAGACTAGTTTCCGTACACACCAGTGTACCCCTTCTCCAACAGACGAGTGATCTGCGTTGAACCCCCAACATCTATGACCAACAGACCTTTTGAGAACCATATATTATCATAAAAATGTGTTTTATCCCAAGGATCGTGCAGACACCCTCAAACACAAAGGGTCTTGGGGTAGGATCTCAGTACTCAAATCATTCTTGGGTACGAATTTTGGGGCATGATTTTGGGGGGTCTCTATTTTGGTCAACCTGTCCGAAATGACCATCACTGGACCACAAACACCAAGCGGCCGGGTCCACGGCCACACCGTGTCGCACGGCCGCAGCAAACGCACCGAGGTTCCGGATCGATTTGGTGAACCCTGCGAGCCAGACAAGCAGCAACTTCTGGACCATGACCTTGCTGGAGCACTGGGAGCAACAAGAGCCGTCCGTTTTTTTCGGTAATATTTTGTTTTTGGGGGTGACGGGTGGTTTCTTTGGGTATGTTTGGGTGGGTGGTTCTTTGATGCCGATTGTTGGATGTGTTTGTTGCTAAGAGTTTTGGTTGGGCAGGTGTTCTTTCCTACAAAAGTGTTGTGTTTGGGTGTTGTTCTTGGTTTGTGTTTGATGTTTTGTTTGGGTTAGCGTGATGTGCCACGGAAGAAGTTTGGGATGTTTGTCGTCCCCAAGTCGTGTTGAAGTTGCTGTGATTTGTGTCAGTGTGTTTCTTTTCTGGGTGGGTGGGTTATCATGTTGCTTGAACGATCAACAAGGTATACTCAGGTCTGACTCTGGGGGAACGTTTCGGGCCAGCGCGGGGGGTCCAACGTGGTGCCCGAAAGGATGTAGCAATGTGAGTTTGGGATCCATACCCTTAGGAACAAGGACGTTACTAGGG